CCCGGTGATTTGTTGGTAACCAAACGGACCCTGTCGCTATTAAGGGAAGCCGCGAAAATGTCTACCTGGGAAAAAGATTGTAACTACGCTGGGTGGCTATCAATTCAACCACTACTGCTGTGGAGACGAAGGGATACAGAAAATATCCCTCCTCTGAAAAATGTGTGTGTTTGTGTTTTTGTGTGTTTGTGTTTGTGTGTGTGTGTGTTTGTGTGTGTGTGTGTGTGTGTTCGTGTGTGTGTGTGTGTGTGTGTGAGTGTGTGAGTGTGTGTGAGTGTGTGTGTGAGTGTGAGTGTGTGTGTGTGTGAGTGTGTGTGTTGGTTGGTTAATTGGTTGGTTGGTTGGTTGGTTGGTTGGTTGGTTGGTTGGTTGGTTGGTTAGTTGGTTGGTTGGTTGGTTAGTTGATATGTTGCATGGCTGATTGGTTAGTTACTTTCTTGGTTTTAAAGTAGTGAAATATTTTCTTACGTTTCCTCACTGTAAATGATAACATCTTCTATGTTAATTGTGAACGTCGAGGATACAACATTGTTATTGATAGTCCAGTGCTCAAAACCATACTGTTCAGTGCAATAATTGAACGAATGAACTTTTCAAGTATATCATAAGAAAGTAACGGTGGTGTTTGGCGAATGTATACCTAGCTTCAGTCTTTAAATCCACATGAAACTCGGGTAGTTATTGGTTCTAAACGAAATCCCCACTGACATTTAAAAGTTATATGAGAACCGATCGTAAAGTTTTGTCTGGTATTGTTATTTCAATTACATATAATGACTCAGCAGTAAACAATAGAAAAGAAAGGGCACATTTATAGCCCCCCCCCCTACGAAAAAAAACTCGCAGAGACAATATAGAAGTTTTATTAAGATTAATCGTCATTACATTAGGTGCAATTGACTAGGCCGGCAGAAAATCGGACTGTCAAAAGTAATGTGCTGTGTAAGATTGACGGGCCAACAGCGACAGTATGTGAACAACCGGGATTGCTTCGGCCAAATCCGACCGATCAATCCCGAACACCCGATCGATCGGCGAGCGATGGCGAATCCATGTCCGTCTGGAGTCGCTGGTTCGGGGGAAACTGACAAGTGTCCGTCCTGGTAGCCGGGTGGGTGGAGGTGTAGGACGGGAGGTACTAACGGACTCCGCGGCTCCGATAGACGGGTGTGGGGATACCGGGGAGGGTACGGGAGCGGAGCGGGTCGGAGTAAATAACCTCCCGCCCCGGGACTGACCCGTGCACGCCAAAGGCTCCCACCGGAAAATTTCCGATTAAGGGGATGGGCGGAAGCAGATGACTTATAGAATAGCTCGTAATTGCAGTTCGATTTCCCCCGGCCTAATACAATGTTAAGATATAGTGATAACAGCTTCATCATATCCAACTACCCGCCCGTCAAATTTCGCGGCAGGCTGGACAAGAGTGCCATTAAAGGTGAGATTTAGGAGCCGGATGGAATGCGGAGAGAGGGAGGCAAGCGGCGCAGAGGTGCCCGGACAAGGTCGGGGGTAGGGCGCCTCTGTTGACACAAAGGGCAACAACATTAACACTGGGATATCAATTTCCGGCCTGACATCCGTGAAACCGACTGGCCGCCGCGCTACGCTGACGTGAGTGAAATCGACGCGCCGCTGTCCGTTCTCATTGGCCAGCTGATTAAAAGGATTACTTCCTGGAAGATGGGAAGATCACCCGGCATCTATCACTAGAAATAGAACTATATTTCTACATTTGTGCTAATGTCTCTATCCGGGAGATATGGTACCATAGGGGTTACCAGTGCCGCACTTGTTTTAACACGCCACGACCTTTGTGCTCCCAATATGGCCAATTTTACGCTCAGGCGAGGCACCTATCTAAAATTCCGTCTGTACGGCAAACATAATTAAAGGAAACAAAATATAGTCATTGGGAGGTACATCAATCTTGTGAAACGGATCATCCGTTATCGATTTTACAGCCACTCTCTTTCATGGTACGACCTGAGGTTTAGATACTGTAGTTGTGGATTCTTTTCCAGGAAGATACGTTTCCTGAAAAGTACTACAGGATGTTATGATAGATACGGTTTTTTGTTGTTTATTGTGCGGATTGTATAAGGAAAAAATGATATCTTTGAGTGCAGCCATTCAGATAGACAAACTGCTCGCAATGAGCAGTTAGCCGGTTTATGGTAGTCATTCTCGGGCTGGAAAATCGGCGTAATTTTGAGTTATGACTCAGGCATTTGCAGAAATTGACAAGTATGACATTACAGCGATGTTTCACCCCGCGTAGGGTGACATTACTCTGCAAATAGACAGCATTTCAGACGTCATAAAAACGCGATAACATTTACAGAAATAATAAAGACGCCGATTGCGCTGACAGTAGGGGTCGAACGAGCATTGACCGATACGGGGGTTTAATGTCAGCGGGGTGAAAGTGGACATTACCCGGCGCAGGCACGGTAAACTTTCCGATAACATATCAGTTTGGCTTGTAAAATAGTATATTGTCTTTGGAACAACTATGCGGTATAAAACTGACAGAAAAGTTTACTTTACGGTGCTGTTTGCTTCAAATGTTGTAGATTGACGGGGTTTAGTGTCAGAGACCCCGGACCGCAGAATTTGAAGGCTACTGCGGCAAATTTTTAATCCACTGTTTGTGAAAAATATCGGTGGTTTATGTCATGTGGTTTGTGCGTATATACGTATATAACCACACAAGTCATGCTGGGCGCCAAATGAAGTTTCGCCGAAGTTCTTTACGGTGAAACAAGTTTAAGGGTACCATATTGTTCGTATCAAGAAAAATTTCAAAATTTTGTTTCTATTGAAAAATTTTGAAGAGAGTACACAGTGGTGTTGTAGTTTAGCCATACGCTTTAATGGGGCAACGAATCGTACGGCGACTTTCGTAATGTAAACTACAGGCTATAATAAAGAAATACAAAAGCTTACAATTATCCACTAGACTTGTAAAATAATAAGACTTGTAAAATAATAAGATCTATGACGTAAACCTGCAACGTTTTGTTACATTCAAGCGTATCTAATTGTGTGTTTCAGTATCTTTTCTTAGAACTAAGCGATCCTTTGTGTATCATTCTATTTGTCCATTGTGATAGTTGTCACATGTTATCTTGAGATATATTTAATTTTGCCGAAAATGTCTAATATGAGATATGAGATAAAAATGATACACATACATGAAAGAATTGAAGCGTTCCTAGCAAAAACAAATAGAGGAACCGAGGGATAGAAATCTTTTGACATAAACCCGGTAATCTTGGAAGAGCGCATATTGTTCGCTTGTCATAACACATTTGCCTTGCCGTTGAAACGAGGCGGTATTTTGTCCCCACACGGCTCCGCATTTGTCCGACTCGGGGATCTATAAAGAAAAGCCATCATCCGGCGCCTGGCCCAGGAAATTTCATGGTCCGTGCACAAAACATGTGTTGATCACCACAAATTAATTGAGTAACCTCGTTTGGCAAGTCTATTATAATGTAATTTTCGCAGTGTGAGGGGAAAGGAATGGACAGCGGGGGGAGGACTACAGGCCTGCGGGATTAAACACTCACACAGCCCGCCTCACGAACACTCCCGAACTCCCCAACCATGGTTAGGAGTAGGTCGGGAGAAAGACTGGCTGTGGTTGTCTGGTGTTCGGCCAGGTCGGCTACCGTTTGGCTATGGCAGCCGAATGTTTCAAAATGTTTAAAACATTCGGGTGTGGACGGGAGGTTCGGCCATGGTTGGCTGGTGGTTGGCTGGCGGTTGGCTGGTGAACGGGAGTAGGCTAACAGTGTTCAGGGCGTGTCGGGGGGTCAATTTTGACTCAAATCTAACTCAAATTCGATTCAATCCGCATAGAAAGGTAGGCGTGGCCTTAAGTTGTTCAGACTGCTCCTGAACGTCAGCCGACCTTGGTTGGTTGCTGGTTGGGGAAAGGTGCTGAATGTGTCGAAGGGGCTCAAGGCTGAGCTTAAGTGGAGAAAAAATTCTGGGGACTCTAAGATTACAGTTAAACAAAAAAGTTTGAAAAAAAAAAGAAGAAATGAGGAAAACGTCATTTAGAGTTTTGGTAGTTATTGTCACTCAGAGCCTGGTCGTACGGTCACCATACGATCACAACTCGAGGGCAGTCTTGGGACAGTCGTGCATATGTCGTACAGCTGTCTTGTTACAGAAAAAAGCTAGGGTCTGTCACCGTGAGCCTGCTTGAAAACTTGTACGACATCAAAAATCGTGAAAACGTATCTATAGTTTCCTAACTTACGGCGAAAACATGTATCAATGTGAAGTTTCCTACGAAGTATTGATATAAACAAACTTAAAAGAAATTGTTGTTCCTAAAAGCAAGGAATGTCCTTGCTAAAAGTTAGTAAGTACAAGAGTCAAACTTTTGTCCACAAATTATCCTCATGATTGTGTTTAATACGCCTAGATTATATCATATAGATCCATAATTTTTTAACAATGAATGTAATAATTAAGAAGTAGCAAGTTGTAGCCCCCCCCCCATCCCACGTGGGCAATACAATTAGAATATAATATCAAAATAAGTGACCTGTCTGCGCAAACAAATTTTGTGCCTGTTATGAGAAAGTGGCTGGTGTCGCTAGGGGGGAATTGGCCGTTAATGAATAATTTCAAACGAACACGTGCTCCAATCAGCGCGCTTATTAATGGCAACGTTTTCCAACCGCCGGGCAATTTGTAAAAATTATGTGGGCAGCGCCCTGGAAGGTGAATATGAGATCTTTCCGTTGAAAGTTTTGAATGTGTTGTGGAGTGAGATTCAGCTTCCCTGGCCCGTGTAGATGACACGCGCTGAAACACAAAAGATTAGCAGGGAAGCGAGAACAGGGCAAGTATTTATTTGCCCTGTGTGTACCGGGTTGACATAGGTGCGTCTTACCGGGTCTGGGGTAGGACGCCGCCGGCACACATCGCAAGAGCTCCCGAAAACTCGAGTAGGACTCATTCGGCACCCAATCGTACACGTTCGTCAGAATACGATCTAGCTACCCTCTAAGAAAGTACTTACTAAGAATTTCATATTTGGCTATACCAGTCAGAGAGGCAGTTGTTCTTCAGACGTGCGCCGTCCGACTTCCCTCGTCGCTGTAAACTTGTTGTGGTAGTTTATGTACCGAAGAGAAGGACACAAAGCGTTTGTTGGAAGAAGAAGAGAAAGAAGAAGCTTCAAGACAGGTGGGCGATTTGTCTTCAGTCTTTGTCGACCACTGTCCTATAAAGTAGAGCACCTGTCGACTCAGCCAGGTGGACAGGTGATCCTTGCCACCTGCAAAAGTTACTGACTCGGTAAAAAAAACTAAGCTCTGACTTACTGGCGAGAGACAGGCGGGAGACCCGATCCTTCTGAGTTGTAAAAACACGGCGCTGGACCAGAGAGAAAACACAGACACGAAGTCAGGAGAAGAGAAGTGTTATCTTTCCCGGTCAGTGAGAGATGGAGAGCAACCCGATCCCTCCCGCCTACTCCTCGGCACCGCCGTACCTGTTCTACCCGCCGCCGGGGCACCCCAGCTCCCGCGTGCAGCAGAGGACGCCGAAGTGCGCCCGCTGTCGCAACCACGGCGTCCTGTCGTGGCTGAAGGGGCACAAGAGATACTGTCGCTTTAAGGACTGTATGTGTGAGAAATGTATCCTCATAGCGGAGAGACAGAGAGTCATGGCGGCGCAGGTCGCGCTGAGACGGCAGCAGGCTCAGGAGCAGAGCATCCTGCAGCAGTTCGGCTTCGCCCCGCCGGTTTTCCCGACCGGACCGAACAAGCCGAACCACCCGCCGCTACCCACGACTTCTACCGGGGCGGAGGAGAGACCCTCGCCGCCAGCCGGCGGTCCCGGGCCGGAGGGCGGCGGGAATGATGCCGAGAAGGGCGACGGCGAACGGCCGGTCACGCGACACGAGAACGACGGTAAGTTCGACACATTATACCATGTACCGTGCATGATCGTTAAGGGCACGGTCACATTCGTCGTACGATCGTCGTGCGATCTGAAACTTATAAAACTGAATTCATTCTTGGATCAGTCGTGCATCTGTCGTTCAAATTGTCAGCTTCGAGGTTCGAGTCTTGACATGACACCGATCTTGTGTCCTTGGGAAAGGCACTTAACACGACTTTCTTCACTTCGCTCAGGTGTAAATGAGTATCGTATTGTCCCCTGTGTTGATGGGGACATTGGTGTAAGTTGAAAAAACTTGAGTGTGCCGTCACCACGTCTTGTGGTTAGATGTTGAAATATTTTTAGAATGTCAGCTTCAACTTCTTAGCACAATTTTGTCACAACCTGCTTGAAAATACTGAGCATGGCACAAACTCGTACAGCCTACGACAAATGTGTCCGCGCCGGTACCGTTAGTTCGTTTAACCTCCCTGTTGTAGTCCAGTTCTTGTTTTGTCGTCTCCTCCTAACTAACCATTATTTTTCATTTGACATAAGAATCCTGTCTATAGTGACCACCTGTACATACTCTGACCGTTTCCTTAAACTTCCTTGAGCGGTTACCAAAGGGAGTTGAAGTAGCCTTGTTTCACAGCGACACAAGTCACTAGGTGTCAGGTCGTTCTCGTGGGTAGGGTTGTTGAAACCGGAAGGTTCTGGGTTCGAATCCTTTGCGCAGGCCCGATTGTTGTATGCTAGCGTCGGTTACCTATAGTTAGCGTCCTCTTGGATGGGAAGCAAAGGTGATGTCCCTTGTTTGAGGCACCAAACTTTGAGTACGTTAATAACATTAATCAGGCTATCAGGCGTACGAGTACATTTGTGTTTGCCATTTCAACATTTTTGATCGAAAAAGCTTCTTCTATGTGTACTAGAGCTGTGTACCGGTACGCAGTACCGATACTGTACCGGAAAAGTTGATTAGGTACAGGTCCAAAATACCTAATCCCTCAGTACCGGTACTGTACCTAAACAATTTCACACCAATTTTATGCCTATTTGTGACCTCAAATGTTTAAATAGCTGGTTAACAATGGGTCCCTGTGTAAGGACAGTGTGTTCATGAAAACAAAAACATCTTAGTTTTGCCTATATTTCATCTGAGCATTCGCCATAAACAAAGAATAAACCTTAACTATCAAGTTTATTTATGTTTTTTTGTTATTGAAGGAGTTCAGAAGAGCATATAAATTGGTCGAATTGTTCAGGTACAGGTTCAGGTCCGGACCTGTACCTAAACCTGTGTACCTGTACCTGTACCTGTATCTAAAATTTGTTTAGGTACACAGCTCTAATGTGTACTATAAAAAAGATCCCAGTGTGGGTGGAACAAATCTTACAGTCTGGCCTTATGCAGTTTGTACTCACTTTTCCAAACTGATATGCGAAACAAAAAAAAACTAACTAACTACAAATTGTTTCCTTAACTACCATTTTCTATCTACAGGTGACAAAAGGTCCTTTGTTATTTGCAGTACTGTGTATGTAACATGGTTTAGATTCTTGTGCATTGTCTTTTGTTATAAGAATAGTGAAGTGTAACTGTAGGCATTGGACGGAACCTTTGCCGAATTTTCTATACTTTCAGAAAATTGACTTCGGATGTGTTATCTTGAAATTAGAGTACATTACTTAACAATGACAGACAACAAACTACTGGCCGGTCATTCTTGTTTTGTATTGTTTTCGTTGTTGCTGTTGTTTGTTTTCTCTAATTGTACCTTCATCAGTTCTTGTCGAAAGGAAAAATCATACCCATGTAACATTGCTATAATTTTCAATAAACTTTCATATAATCCCAGGTCCCTAACGACCCGCTCACAACCATCGTGTGGCCGTCGTACGGTCCAAACCGAGGAAAATCTCTTGATGGTCGTGGATATGTTGTTAAATAGTTGTCTGTATTGTTACGGAAAAGGCTGTCTAACATCTGAAGACTCGCGCCTACCACGGATATGACCACGCCTTGTGCGCTAACTATAGATGCTCGCCCCACCACGTAAGCTCCAATAACCAGTAGAACGACCTAACCCTCCAAATTACAATTTCCAAAACTGCTCAAACAAAAAAAAAAAAAGGAAAGAAAGGACATCGTCACAAAATCTGTACGTTTCAGACTCCGTTGAAATCTTTGAAAACCGATATTCAAACCCCTTTTTGTCCCGTACGTTAAGTCGTAACACCTGCGGGTGTCTGAAGTGGAAGTTTCCGTGTTGAAGAGGCGGTTATACAGTTATTTCTCACTCTTCTACACTAGCGCGGAAATAAACTCAACCCGTGTGTGGTCGGTACTCACAGGGAAACACTTCAACCCTTCTAAACTCCAAAAGGATCCCGAGATTTTCAATATCCCTCCGCTCGTTTGTAATGCTCTTAAGAGGACACACCTGCACCTTAAGTAAAGGCGCGTCGCGGAGGTGTTTGTGTAAAGGGTTCACCAGGTGTACAACAAGGCTTAATTCCTTTCTAACGCTTTCTCTGAAACAATAGTCTTCTGTTCAAAATGATAAACTCACAGGGTACGGTAGTGTGGCCACGGGAAGGCACACTTGTCGTTGGTTGTTGTAATTGTGCGATTTTGATGCTGTAGAATTTTCAAGCTGGCAGTGACAGAGCCAACAACCGACAAGGATCTAAAACAATCATTTTTCAGTAATAACAACACGACATATGTACGACTATCCCAAGAATTCTCTCATAAGTTTGTAATCGTACGATGTTCGTACGACGTATGTGATCAGACCCGGAAGAAAAAACGGACTGGTCTCTCTGTCACTGACGAAAGCTAGTGGATACTAGCTGAAACGTCTGACGTTTCCAAAATCATATCCAGTTGCTTGAGTAACTGCTTTTTGACGTATCGTATTACCTGGATGTCTAACCTTCACCGATGTAACGGTAGCGTTTTTTTGCATTTTCTTGCATATTGAAGATGATACTCGATGTATTCTGTTTCATACAAGTAAAGTTGTGAGTAGTATGATATCACACTGTTTGTTTCTTCGTTTGTTTCTTCGTTAGTTGGTTTGTTCGTCTGTGTGGTGTTTCCTAGTGTATCGCCGAGTGTTGCTTTTTCTTCGTTGCTGTCTTTTCCGTACAGTGCAGTCTGGTTTTATGGCAAATTTTGTAGATAGGAATAATAAAATGTTAATTCCTATTTAGTGAAAATTCTATGTTTATGGTGAAATCGAATAAACCATAAACAATAACTCCGAAATGACTACAGAAAGGTAGAATTTACTGGATAAAAATAGTAAAAAGACGGGTTATTATGGGTTTACATGTAGCAAAAAAAATATTCGAAGCCAAACGTTTCAAGGAAGAATCATTTTGTAGTGACAGTATGTATTTACATTTCCGTCCACAGTGAAATAATTGATATACAATGGATATGAAAATGTGGTTCATAAAACGTGATTGACGCTCCAGTATCATACGTCATATGCTTCGGATGCAACTTATCTCATGGGTTGAACATTTTTGATTTCTAAAACTGAAATACTATGATTATATATATATCTTTGGTACAATAGTGTTTTTTTTTGTGAAAGGCACCCAGTGCAATTGAAGGTGGCAAAACTGGAAATATTCTGAATAAGGCAATCTGTATGATATTGAGACATTACATTAGCGCATTTGAATCAGTCTTTCATACTTTAGGCATTTAAAACTGCAAAACAAGCCCCAAGATGAGTCCTTTATTTTCTGGGTGGTACCCTAAAAATCAACCCAGGTCCTTCCAGTAACCGTTTTTCGTCAGAATTTGGGACATTTTTGTTCCATGAATGTCGACATATATTGGGACAGTGTTGTTTTAACTTAGTATGTAGATAAGTGACTAGAATATTGACTTTGGAAAATATGGTTTCCAAGCCCTAAATACTGCACTGGATGCCTTTAACTAGGTATTGTATAAAAGTACAATAGGAGAAATAGAAGCGCAGTGACGCCATATTTATACATAGTAGGAGATTATTCTGTATTTCGTTCCCGATGAATGCTCTTGTGAAGACTTGTGTGTTTTTGGATTGCGGTTTGAAGGGTTGAATCAATTCTTTGCCATAGTATCTGTGAGACAAAATTGCGATGTCACTGACGAAAACCGGTTGCTTTTTCCTGGCTATTTAAACAACTCCTCACGTAGATTTTTGTAGTTATTTCGAACGCTTCCAGTACAAAATGATGAGGGGAATGTGCTAAGAAATTGCAGTAAATGTCAATATCGGACAAATTTCCTCTGGATTACTCTCAAAGCAGAGGTTTGGGTTTTGGTATACTTTTGGCGTGTTTTTAAGCTTTTTTATTGGGTTTTCTTTTTCTTTCTTGCGCTTTGGACTCTTTTTCTTACGCCAACGACCAACGCTGTAAAAAAGCAAAAAACAAAGCCCCAAAAAAGCCTAAAAAGACGCCAAAAATAAGCCAAACCCAAACCTCTGCTTGGGGAGTAGCATTGGATGTCTTTAAATTTGAAAGACCTTTATTGCACATTCATTCCACGACAGGCTAGGCACAGGTAAAGACTTAACATACACATTACAGACGTATGTAGAGAATTGGAGACAAAAGATACACTACTAGACTTAGACATAAAACATAATACATAAGGAACATACAAGGGTACCATACTAGGCTAATACAAAGTGTTCTAGTTACTGAGCTAATACAGGTTGGTCAACTTCTTCTCGCTTTTTTGTACAAAGGAAAATGTGGGAACAGATCATGTTTGTGATACAGGGTTTGTCTAGACGCATCAAAAAATAAATCTATCCACGTCGAAAAACACGTGGGCAAATCTGTGAGAATCCGTAACAGGTGCCACGGCTTAGATGTGCCAGCGGGCAGAGTTGACGGATTACCGGCGTGGCGATGTCGGGTGGGCTGGAGACAGAGCCACACAGGCCACGGTCCCTTACACCGCCACAATACCGGGGGATACTACCGTCAAACTGCGTGTGTGTGTATACATGTATCACCTGCGTGTGTGGATACTCCAGCGCCACATATTTTGACACCTGTCTCTACCTGTGTGAAAACACGTTTGGATCCGTACCTGTGCATGTTAGCAGTTGGCCGTGTGCCTTCAGACCGCCAGAGTCGTGTTTTGCCGTATTTTACTATTCTCTACCAGACTAACTACGTACGCTGGCTATATGTAGGAGAATAATTGCCAGGGGAGTTTGGGCGCCTTGTAGCTTTGATTGGCCGCGCAGGAAAGAAACTACCTCCCCGCTGCCAATTTTACTCTTTTTTCCTAAATTCTACGATCCGTATTCCCGTAGGAAGGCCTGGTGGAGGCTAGTATTTTACGACTCGGGCACTTCTGCGAAGGTCGTCGTCTGAGTTCGATGTCGCACACTTCTCAAGCAGGTTGTGACAGAACAAACCGCTGACAAGGAAATAAGACAGCCTTTTTGTCGGTACGAGGACAGCTCACAAATGTCGCGCGCGCGATCGTACGACGATCGTACGACGAATGTAACCAGGAACAATGGTGTCGTGGGGTTAACGGGGTCGTGTGGCGTAGCGGCAGAGTGCTCGACTCGGAACCAAGAGGTTCGAGTCCTGACATGCCACCGATCTTGTGCCCTTGGGAAAGGCACTTAACACGACTTTCCTTACTTCGCTCAGGTGTAAATGAGTATTGTATTGTCCCCTGTGTTGTTTGCGGCATTAATATAAGTTGAAAAAAAACTTGAGTGTGCCGTCACCACGTCTGGTGATTACATGTTGGAATATAAAAAAACAACAAAAACAATGGTGTCTATGAGAGGGGGGGTCTTGTGTAATACGTTTGTATCAATGGCGTATTGCATGTTGTTTTCTGCAATGTTGTTTCATCTTATTTTATTCTATTTATTTTCGATGGTTTACCTCACCGGTAGTTCTTCCGTTGAGATGTGGAACACCTCAGAACACGAAATTGACAAGTGCTGACAACCGAACCCTCATGTTCCCTCATTATCTCCTAGAGGGGTAAACAATAAGTTCATCCTGGCAAGACAGTACAGAGGAAAAAACACAGGTGTCGACAGAGGTGTTGGTATGTCTCCTCTGACCTGGTACGCAGCCATGTTAATACAAAGGACAGTATTTGCCCAGGACCCGTGCTGGTATACAGTGTCTCCCTACTTAGCCTCGCTAATGCACGGTTTATTTACCGGCTTCTTTGTCCGCCCTCGTAACCAGTATGTTACGGGAGGGTCTAAGTATTTCAAAGCAAATGTTCCCAATCCGAAGGGAAGCGTGCAGCGTGGTTAGTGTAAACGGAGAGGGGAGGGAGGGAATGCCTTCCAAAGGCTTAGTCCGAAGGTATCGGGGCTGCTGACGTCACCCATGGCTTCAGAAACACACAGACATCCGGCCGGGTAATTTGTACAGAAACACGTGTCGCCTTTCAGCGGCTTTCTCTACAGGAATGTTGAACGAAACACTTGTCAGTCAGCGGGCAGGATTTACAGTGCGATTTTTGCGTGGAAAAGTGGGTCACAGCTAGACTTGCGAGAGACGTGAGAAATACAATACTCTTTTTTTTTATTCCAACATTTCATGACCAAACGTGGCGACGGCACACTCAAGTTATATCAACTTATTTTATGCCGCGACCAACATAGATTACAAATACAGGACAGGACAATACTCGTTTTCACTTGAGTTAAGTGAGGAAAGTCGTGTAAAGTGCCTTTCCCAAGGGCACAAGATCGGTGGCATGTCAGGACTCGAACCCGGGACCTCTTCCGGGTCGAGCACTCTGCCGCTACGCCACACGACCCCACCTACAATACTTTCAATGCTCAAGTTTGCCTCTACAACGAATGTATGTCCGCAATGGACTGTTTGCAAATGTACAGTTAAACCTGTGCGTAGCTTGTAGACTTGTACAAAGGATGTCACGGTTTTGACTGTTGTTTACAAAAGGTGGTTATTTAACAGTCATTACACCTGTATAGGTGCCAGTCACCGACCTGGTGGGAAATAGTAGGACAGACCCAGTATGAGTCATCATTGTAGATAGTGATGTAATTTCCAACACAAGAAATTGAACGTATTAAAATTTTATAGTTCCAGTCTTTGTCAATGAATGAGTGGTCCACCGCTTCTGTGGACGGGGGGCCCTACAGACTATTTGCATAATGTGATGTCACAGAAGCGGCGGATTGCTCATTCCTTGACAAAAATTGGATGTTGTACAGTCGACAATTGGGTCAATTTCTTGTCAATTAGTTTATTTACTCGCCCCGTAAGGACTTCTACCAACACAGATGAACTTTCAATATAAGATAGGGAGTTAATATTTTGATATAACCTTGATTTTAAACCTCCTTGATATAACCTCTACTTCTAGTGGGATGTGTTAATCCACAACTTAATATATTTTTTTTACCTCCGTTTAGGTTTCGGTGTGTATGTTTGTCTGTTTTTGCGATTCCGTAATTATTTTCTAGGCAGGTGGGGGACACTGAAGTTAGGTCACAGGTCCGAATTAAGGTTCCAGAAAGGTTATCTCATTTCCTGTCTTCCATTCCCTGCCTCTGCATGACTACTGCCTTGTGGGAGCCAGGGAGAAAATACATAGACATTCAGTGAGAAACTTAAAATAATGAATGAAACAATTGCAAAAAATTCAGACAGTATGGTATGACACTTTGGATTTCTTATTTTGTCTTTTTATGTTAACCAAAGGAAAACATATTGTTTTTGCTCTGTTTCTTCTTCTTCTCCAAAGAGTGACCTCTGACCTGACCAATGACATGATTTGTTGACGTCTGTCACCATGGTGACTGGTGTTGGGTTACATAATGTTGCAATTTCATGGTCTGCTCTGCTCCTGTCACCATATACTAGTAGTACATATATGTGAATGTGTTTGAGTAAGAATTAACAGAGCAGACCGTGTCTGAAGGTAAACATTATGCATTTGCTTTGCAAATGTTACTTCTTTAGTTAATTCTTACTTTTGTTTATTTTGTGCCATTTTCTGCAGCAGGCGCGAGGGACGGAGAACCCCGTGTGTTGTCTCCGCCTCTGAAGACCCCGTCCCCATCTCTCCATGGCAACGGCACCAGCCCCACCCAGCAACAAGATGGCGACCATCCGGGACCTTGCGGTGCAGACGACAGTCCAAGCGGCGAGGACGGCGGCGCCTCCGACGGCAAGGCGGACACGGAGTGCCCGGACACCGGCGTGCACATCGAGAGCGACCCGCCGAAGGACGCTTCCCTCTCCCCGAAAATAGCCGAAAAGCCGCCTGATGGGCCCCGCCGATTTCCGCCGACAGATTTCCCCCGATTCTTCTCTCCTGAACATTTCCTAAGTCCCGCCGACCGCGCGCTCGCTAACAGCAACCTGCCCCCGATCTACACCCTGTCCAAACTATTCCCCTCTCATAAGACCGATGTTTTACACTTGGTTTTAAAAGGCTGTAACGGCGACCTTGTCAGCGCGATAGAGGTCCTTCTCTCTAGCAAAGGGAACCCGTTAAATGAGGACATGTTGAAAAACCCTCTCGTTATTCCGTCCTCTGTCTCCCAGTGTCCGTCTATCTTTAGATCGGCCCAGCCCAGCGACACAGACTCGAACGGGTCGGCTTTCCGAGTCCCCCGACCAACCCACGACCACTGCGGCCTGTTCATGCCGGCTCACCCCTCCAAACTCCCCCACCATCACGCCCCCAAACCCCCCATCCCCAACCTCCCCCCTTTCCTCCTCAACCCCTTCATGGCGGCGAATCGACTGAGCACTACCGGCACGCCGTCGCTAGGGGGCGGTATTGACATCAACCTGTTGGACACCCTGGCCGCCCACAACAGCCGCCCTCTGTCGTGTCAGCGGGCCGCTCTGGACATCCAGAACAACAGCGTGTTCAGCCCCGCCCGCCTGAACGTCGGCATCCCCCTCCCCCCGGCCAAGTTATCATCGCGAGTGGCCGACTCCAGCCAGCCGCTACCTATCCCCAGGAAAGACGACTTCTCGTCGACTCTCGGCCACCTTCGGCAGACGTCGGAGCCGCCGAACCCGTCCATCTCGCTGTCCGACGACTTTCCGGAGAAACATCGTCATCACCAAGACCCGATGACGACCAGATCCGACAGCCTGCAGGACTCCCGACGAGAGGTAGGGGCGCTGCTGCTCCAGCCCGCACGGGTAGGACTAGACGACACCAGATAAAGTTCTTCCTGTAACGTTGAAAATCAGTTGCAAACACTACCAAAAAGTCGTCCAACGCTCTTACATTGTACTGGACCATGTATATATGTACTACAAACGGCATGTGATCGGTATCTTTCTGTATAGAAATATTACAACAACGTTTTACCTTTGAGTGCAAAGTGAAGTTACCGTTCATAGCAAACCCTTGCAGTTATTCAGCAATATATAACGTAGGTACCAATACATATAGAAGCGTATCTTATCGTCTAAAAATTACATACGATATAGCAGATAGGATAAATACATTTACAGATGAATAAACGTGCCACTAGTACTGGGCGTCAACGCCTGGCGCATGATGTGTATATCAGTAGTCTCAAAGACCACCAAATCTTTAGAAGATCATGGGACCGTCGATTGGTTGGTTGCGCAATCTTCATGCAACCGCTCCCTCAATTAATATCACAGGAATCATTATATGATAAACGATAAAAGTGTATATAATATCCGTGTATGACAGCAATAAATAGATACCAGTCGTTCAATGAGCTGGCATGGTAATGATCAGTGTTTTGTGTTTTGTATTTTACCCAGTGATCAAGAAATTTGTCATATAGAAGTAGGATAACGCTTTTATAGTGTTGTGGTGAAGTTGAAACACAAAAGAGGTGAGTAGTTCTGGTCTGAACTGAACCGCTTACCCTGGATGCCAAACTCGTTTCGGGCCGCTAGCGATTTCCTTCGGCAGCCAAGAGCCCTTCGCCCGCGGGTCTAAATTACCGCTACGGGGAGACTAGCCCGGGGGGAGTTTGGCTGGCCCTTTCTAGGGCCGGAGAAACCCCTCGTGCTCAACTCCCCCCTAGCGGCAATTTAGATAGGCGGGCGAAGGGCTCTTGGTTGCCGAAGGAAAACGGCTAACGGTCCGGTGCTAGTTTGGCACCCAGGGTAGAACCGCTCAGTTTGCGGCGTTTGAATCAAGAAAAATTGTCCTCCAGAACGAAATGCCTTCCCAAACTAACTAGTGCGCTGTTGATTGACACGACAAGATAAGATAATATTGACAGCAGTGAAAGAGAGAAATTTCACGGAATCACCGGTGCGAGGCCGCCTGTGTTTCCCCAACAAAACGCGACCCCGCCCGAAGCTTCCCGAAAGACGATCCGATAAAACCGGTACGGGCTCGGCCCCGGCGCGGCGTGCGCACCAGACTGAGAGCCGCCGCCAAACGTTACTGTTCCACCACAAACAAAAACACAGCTCAGGAAGAAAGAATCCCTTCTTTCTGTCGAAGAAAATTACAAGGAACTTACTGTATGTAGTTGTTGTGGCGTGAAAATGGTGCGTTGGTTCGAAAACCAAGAATAAAATGCTGAACTTTACACCATATTACGGTGTAACAGTCTGCACCATGTACAACTATGTTCACAATGCGTACATGTAATACTTAACCGTGCCGTGTAGCCAAAAGTGTTTCATGATTTCAACACTTGAGGGCGTTTAGATCCTAAAGTCAGATATACTTTCTACAAGACTAAATTACATACAAGGCTATCGGGACAGAAATCTCAGTATTGGCACGTTCGTATACTCAGTCATTTTAGAGCTTCACAAATTTAGTGACAATGACAGTCGCTTTCCGTACAGAGATGAGTCCTTGTTCCTAATGACGTGTACTTGAGATTTAGTCAGGTGTGCCCTGAGAACATAGTACCCACTCTCTGCCACTCCACGTAAACAATAGTTTAGATGTCCAGCGTTCAGTTCAGTTCTTCGGCTGTGCTTTTAAGGCATCCAATGCGATTTCAGGGAAGCAAAACTAGAAATATCCTGAATAAGGCAATCTTTGTGATATTGACACATACTGCTTCACATTAGCACATTTGAGTCAGTATTTCATACTTTAGGCATTTACAACGACAGAAACAAGCCCCAAGATGAGTCCTTTATTTTCCCTAAAAATCAGCTAAGGGCCCTTCCAGTAACCATTTCCGTCAGAATTTGGGAATATTGCTCCATGAGGGTCAATAGATCTTAATATACATTTGGATAGTGTGATTTCAATTCAGTGTGTAGATAAATGACTAGGCTTTGAAATCGGGTTTCCAAACCCTAAAAACTACACTGGATGCCTTTAAGTTTTGGTGTTTTGGTAAGCGTGCACCAATGACGACACGTAAAAAGGTGTGCGTTTCTCCTTTTGTTTGTGAATTAGGCCACAGCAAGTAATTCTTATGGATGACATCACGCGCATTAATTTTCGCCTGATTTTGGGAAGAAGTTTTTGTTGCCCTCTGACAGTGGTCAACTTGCCTAAAATGGACAAAGATGACTGTTGTCATGATGACAGATAGATATGAAGAGAGGAGACAAGACAAGGCTCTTATGTTTTGTCTTGTGTGATGCAGTGATGTACTTCATTTCTTCTATATATGATGGTGGCTGTGCCGCATATGTGATGTTCCCACTGAATCAAAACCATTTGTACAATGATCGAAAACTTTTATTTTTCAAAGCTGTTTCAGTGAGAAATGGATGCTGTAATAACCAAGAATAAAATGCTGAACTTTACACCATATTACTGTGTAACAGTCTGTACCATGTACAACTATGTTCACAATGCGTACATGTAATACTTAACCGTGCCGTGTAGCCAAAAGTGTTTCATGATTTCAACACTTGAGGGCGTTTAGATCCTAAAGTCAGATATACTTTCTACAAGACTACATTACATACAAGGCTATCGGGACAGAAATCTCAGTATTGGCACGTTCGTATACTCAGTCATTTTAGAGCTTCACAAATTTAGTGACAATGACAGTCGCTTTCCGTACAGAGATGAGTCCTTGTTCCTAATGACGTGTACTTGAGATTTAGTCAGGTGTGCGATGAGAACATAGTACCCACTCCCTGCCACTCCACGTAAACAATAGATTAGATGTCCAGCGTTCTTGGTGTTGTGGGAAGTGTGCATCAATGACAACACGTAATATTAGCTTTGCGTTTCTCCTTTTGTTTGTGAATATTAGGCCACACCGACTTGATTTTATGAATGACATCCGCGCGCGCATTGATATTTGCCTGATAAAAAAAAATATCACGTCCACCGGGGCTCTGGCCTGGCTCTAAGTCTGGGTAGTCCATGGTAGTTAGCGACAATACGGAGCCGGGCACCCAGGCTACCGAAGCTCCACAACTCAAGAACTTAGTACATACCTACAGTACCGATTCATAAATTCCGCAAAAAGCCAGCATGTGCCGGCTTGTCGCGATCGTATACGTCAATATGTACTGCCGCAAATTCACAATACCAGCTTTGTATCCCTTTGGTTTAGTAACATTTTATTTTTGGAGGAATTTTTTTTATTCGCCCGCGCGCACTAGTTTGGTGGTCTTCAGAGGATGTCATCTATAATATTAAGACGGTGTGGCCTTAGGCCACAGCAAGTAATTTTTATGGATGACATCAGCACGCGCATTAATTTGCGCCTGATTTTGGAAAAAAAAAGAAGAAATTTTGTTGCCCTCTGACAGTGGTCAACTTGCCGAAAACATGGACAAAGATGTCTATTGCCATGCCGGAACTTGGGTGGCAGATAACTATGAAGAGAGATGAAATAAACAAAACAATAAACAAACTAGAAAGGCCAATATTTGCTTTGGAGCAAATACAGCGATGGGTTCACCACATTTTACCACATGGCAGGGAAAGAATGAGAAACACAAGGGAAAACAATGATTTACATTGATATAACTATAATATGAAGTAACATACAACTAAAACAACAGTTGGATAGCTATTCCCTACTCTATTGGTTAGGATTTTTAATTGCATAATGCAAACTGTTGATTTTCAAAAAAAAAAAAACGTTCATGCCCCGCATTCCAATGCTGGAGCAGAAAAGCTTGAAATACCTACCAAAACACTTGAATAAAGACATACTGTCAGTATGGAAATGCTCTGTGCAGGTGTTAATCAAGTTAAATCCCAACAGCCAATCAGCAAGAAGTATAGAGGAAAGCTGCATGCCTATTGGTTGATGCCCTGCATTCCATTGTGATGACTCATGCCCAAACGTGCTAAACAAGGCACACTAACACAGTAATACATTTGCTATAACACAGCCAAGAAACTCAAATAAAACCATTCTAAAAGCCTGTATCACAATAATTTAAAAAACGCCTAGGGGTATTTGCCCACTGTACCTCCATACCAAATTTCAGGACCTTAGGCCCTAAAATGAAGAAGCTGAATCCATTTAAAAAAATGGCAGGAGAG